TTTGGGTTGGAAAGAACTTTGAAAAAACTATCTGGCCTAGCTCCCTACTTAAAGCAGAGCTTTGCTATTCCTCAGTAAATCAACGATGATGAAACATGTTTTGGAGAGTAAATCTCTCTAGATGTAGTTATATGTGCTTTCTTTAAGCATTTTTATAATTGTGCCATGCCATCATGTGTTAGCATGATTAGATATGTCTACAACAGAATCACCACGGTGACTACAATGCCATGCACAGGGGTTTCGGTAGCTGTAGCAGTCTGTGCATAGCAGTGTGGAGCACAATGTGCCTGGGATTGCAGCTGAGTTCTCTGCTTTGTCTGCTTAGCTGAGTTAGCTGATAGAAAAGTGGTTCAGATACTGGCATGTTACGGTTTAGTCATGACTGTGACTGTCATGTAGACATACCTGTATTTATCACACACACCACAGTGTAATGTGCATGTGAATAGATCATATGAGTGTGTGATGTATGTGTATAGATATATATACACTATATATATATAAAGCACGATAGAGTATTACTGCAGCAAAACTATCTTGCTTTGCTTCCTGGTTTTGTTTATTTTGTAAGAGTGCCTAAAAGCATTACATTCCTGGCTTTTAAAAACTATAGAAGGACATAATTTTATATTAAGTTTCTTTACAGGTATAGATGAGTGATTTGGTGAGATACTAAGTCACCAGTTTATCTAGATATTTGGCAGTATACTGCTCCTTCCCATTTTCCCATTTTCCATTACAATACTTATGACTCAAATTTAAGTTTGCTTGGTACTAGTAACCTCAGATGTTTGTACACATGCTTATCTATGTTATGCTAACAGAGGATCTTGTGTCTGTGACTAAACAGCAAAGTTCCTATAGCTAGTAGAAGAATAACATGTCCAAGGATTGAAATCCAGCAGCCATCCACAGACACTGACAGGTATTACCATTGTATATTAGCTGGAGTTTGAACTTACAATAATTAGAAAATGTATCGCTGTATTTTTCTTGTTCTGTGCTGAGTGTGTCTAGATGAAAAAAATATGCACTAGGAGCTGAATTGTGGTGTACTGTAACCCTACAGCAATTCTATTTTTATTTCTTCAGTTTTTTGTTACAAGAACAACCTAGTACTAAAATTGTGATTGGCATGATCTCATGACTCGCTTTTTTAGTCTTGCACACAGTAAAAGAATCTAACATGGGCTTTCAAATAAACTGTTTTCAGTTATTTGGGGGGAAAATAAGTTTTATTTGTGTTGTAAGCTGTTATGATTGCTTACTGTTGAAAACTGTTCATCTTCCATAAAGCTTTCTCTTTACATAAGTTTAGATCAATTAATGTATTCATTTGTTGAAAATTCTCCTTTTTATTTGTTAAGAAAAGTAACAAATCTGAAAAATTAAAAATTAGAAATGGTTATTTTCTGCATTGGGAAAAGAGTTAGATTTTGAAATTTTGAGAACATGGATATAGAACAATGCAGATACATCAGTAGCTAAACCAAAATGTTGTAGCACCTTTGGTTAGATACTGTGGTTACTAGAATTTGCAGTGGTACCTAAATAGTATGGGTTTCTAATTTTTGATGGGTTTGCAATGTAAAATTAGATTGTGAATACTCACAGAGCTTTCTGCATGGTGGCTGACAGAGAGCTGAGACAGTTTCAGAGTGATAGGTGTGCTTGGTTAAGAAGCAAACACTTCCTGCTGTAGCCTTTCCTCAATGTGGGGGACAGTTATGGGGAATAGGCCACCTACCATGCATGTTTTCCTTAGCAAAGGTAGAAGGATGCTACAATAGGCAATACTAAATGGAGGAGGTCACTATTTGATGTTTTATTAACTGTATTTTTTATAATGAAAAATCTGTTAGCAAAGATAAACAGCTCTAGCATACATTAAAATATTATATGGATGCTGAATACTTTAACTTAGACTATTGTATTTCCCTCTTTAAAAATCAGTAATTTATATGGTATGAATTGTAATGAGAAAAGAGGAAACTTTCATCTAGATAACTTGGGAGCATAAGCCCTCAAGAATGTTATCTGAAAAGTTACGAACTTCTGTTTTTAATTCACTGAGGTGTTTTAAAAACTCCCCTTCCAATGCTTATGGCTGGACTGTGATATTAATGCGTAGTTGTATACTGTAATAGGTGAAGAGCTGCTCTGCCCAAGCAGGTTATTGGAGTGATTTTTTATTTTTTTTTCCTCTGTAAAAGGGACAGTTCGTTTCTGAAGACCTGGATCCTATAGCACATGTGTTTACTGTTAAAAGGACATTGAAATATGTGAGGACAAAGAGCAGACAATAAAACTGTCTGTTGATTGATCTTTGTATGTGTATGATCTAAAACCACACAGTGAAGCTTTCAAGTGGAAGACTGTCAGTATGCTTATGTAGCCCTCCATTTGCTGCTGTGGGTACTGAGACGTTTGCAGCATGTAGCCTGTATCTTGAGGGTAACAGCTCAGCTTCACCTCAGGATTGAACTTAGTCTTCAGATCCCTCCATCTGCAAAACAACAGCGGTGCTGAAGCTTCATCTAAAAGCAAAAGGTTCACTGCCAAAATCCATGTACTCCTTCACTTTTGGGAACTCCTGGTTGTTTTCCACTTGAAGTACATGACAGCTGCACATTGTGGCAAACTGAATATTTATATTGACTATTGAATATGAAATTTCTGAGGCCTTTATCTGTTGGCACAGTGGTTAGCTATAGTGGCTCCATGATGCTCTGCAGAATACAGAACCTACCCACTAAGCCATTAGTATTGATCCTGATGGTAAAAATGACTCCCTGCCTTCAAACACAGGCAATGGGTCAGATCCCTAACATCCTAAAAAATCCTTTTTATGCTACAGCTAAAGAGAATAAGGCCTTAGGAGTAACAAGTGAAAGAGGCTTAACTTCTCATAAAGTGTTTATGAAAATCATGTGGTTGCTACTCACCTGTTCCTCTGTATGTTCTACTGACTATTGGAAGGAGAGAGAAATAGAAACCAGAATGATACCCCTCACCTCATTGCCCAGTCCCTGTTGCTGTGTGCTCCAGCAGTCCCCCGCTCACTGGCAGAAGGGCTGTTCTAGCTCTCTCTGTGTGACAGACTCAAAGAAGAAAGTCTCTGTGGGCTCGCTAATTTTCTTAAACATGTGGGTAAACAAGGTACGGGTGGGTTCTCTGCATCTTGGTCATATTCTCTTTTGTAATTTTGTTGAATTTAGGAATATTTTTTTCTTGAAATTTACTCCCATAATCTAAGAATTTGTTCCCATGGTCATTTTTTAACCACCATGCAGATGGCCGATACCTTTCTCACCTTTCATAACACTGAAACCTCTCTTAAACAGTTACCTAAACTAAGCAACATTCATATCAAAGCTAAGGTTGTCTTTCTTTGTCTATCCACAATGTAAAAGAAGCGAGACAGTGGATGTTTTTGCTGATGAAGCTTCCCATTCAGAAACAGAACTGATAGAAGAAGAAGTGAGGTAATTTTGTTGTGGTTTTGTGCCAGGCTCATTGTACTTTTCCTCCAAGCTTTAGTGCCTCAGCTTATAATTACAATTATGTGTCTCACTATGGTGTGTTTGCTTGTTAGGAGCTTATAGATGTAGATTCACGGTGAATGGTATTATTCTGAACCTGTCTGTGGCAATTCCTTCGTATGCTCTAGGAGTCCAATTATTACCTCATGAAAGGCCTGAAGAGACATTCGTTTTAATGAATCTTTTATCAATCCATTCAGCAAAGTTAGCCACCCTAGAGACAACTGTACTCTGTCTCGATATGGTTTTTAGAAATAAAATGCTGTTAATAATATAAGACTCTTCATAATGAGGCTGTGGTATGTCTCTCTCTTTTTTGATACTAATTAAAATTCGACTTCTTGTTACACTTAATCACCATCTAGTCACTCTTTGTATTAACTGGCTTCATTGTAAAATGCATGACTTCGCTCAAGGAAAAGTCCTGAAGGGTACATGTTCCCCATTTGTATTCTACAGCTATTCAGTTACTCAAGGAGAGCTGGGAGAAGTGTGAATTTAATAAGTAGCTCCACCAGGGTATGGATTTTACTTTTAAAATTACCTTGATTTTATGTATTTTAGGATATTGCTAGCAAACATTACTCCTTGCAAACAGACTGATTACATTGTGAAAAAAGGTGGGGCTTTATTAATTTCTGAAAGTAATGGCATAATTAATTGCCTAAGATAGCAGAAGACCAGACTGCCTGATGAAGAAATTCTTTTAGTCAGTCTGATTTCTCCCCATTGCATCTCTAATGGTAGCTTTTCCCGTTGCTGTTTTGGCACAGTTCTTTAGGCTGTGGGTTAGAAGATTTCTTTTTATTGCAAACCAAACTTTATGTAGTTGGTGAAACCTCCACAAGTACTAATGATACTGTAGATTTTCATCTGACTACAGTCTGAGCACCACATATGAATCCATCACTATAGCCTAGCCTATATTTTGACAGACATCCTGAGTCTAATAATCGTGAACAGTGGTACATGGTAATTATAACATCTGGAATGTGGACTTTCCTACAAACAAGAGTACTACCTCTAAATGCAGTCTGTAAAAATCTAGTCATGTGATTAAAAATGCTCAATTAAATTGCACAATTAAATGAGTCATTAGCTTTAGTGAGAATTAATATTATGTCAGCTATTCTTTTCCTCCAAGGTTTTGATGTATTAATTAATAAAAACAACAATATTTTTACCCAGAAATTGTCAGGAAACAGACTATTGCATGGATAGTCATTACTGAGACATTGGAAACATTTCAGCCCATTTATCAAGAGTATGGAACAAGCCAAATCATATATGTATAAAAAAACTGTATGTTATCAAGAAGCGAACTCAGAAAAACTTACCGTCCCCCAAAAATGTACATATCAAAATTATTTGCTCCAAACCAATGTCATGCAGCATATTTTACAATTAATAGAAAAGTCAAAGGTCAACTGAGCTGCTTTTTGACTAACATTACAGGAATTGTGAAGCAGCAGATAGACAGCCATATCAAAGATCCAGATCAACAGAGCAACGTCCTATGCTAGAGCGGACCAACTCCCGCTCCCGATCCACAGAGCGTCCTGACTCAAACCTCATCAGGTCGATGCCTTCATTAATGACTGGAAGATCTGCCCCTCCTTCACCTGCCTTACCGAGGTGAAACAGACAAATCAATCAGACTAATCCCCTTCTGCCCCACCAGCTCACCATTTTATTTTCCCAGTAGCTAATTGGTATCGCCTCATCTTTAGCTGATCACTAGTACCAATAGATACTAACCCTTTCAGTGCCAACACACTATTTATATTCTACTCTGGATATAATGGTGTGGCTGCCATTGCAAATTGTTTGCTAACGGTATTTAACTACATTTGTTTGTGATTTCTCATTTGTCAGGAATCCTGGATCGTTTCCCACATAAAGCACCTCATAACTATCATATTCTCTTACAGAATGAGAAATTGTTTGTGTTCATCAGACATCACTTATGGAACAACCATCATAACATCAAATGAAACTATTTTTTTAATACAAAAAAAAGTTTCTTTAAATGGACTGTACTAACTTTGTCTATTAATTACCATTTTAACGACCATTTTCTCTGACTACATTTTACTGTGCCATAGTCTGTATTGTTCCTGTTTGAGTGTTATACCTTCCTGATTGATATTTTGAGGATTTCTATACATTACTCTTAGCTTAAATAAGCATAATACAATAAAAAGATGAGTACATTTTGGTCTAGTTGATGTTCATTAAAGCCTCTCCTTATTTTAGAACTGCAGAATACATTCTTTTGTTTTCTGAGAGTTAGTGACATCAAATCCCCAGTGAGTTAGAGTCAAATACCAGTGTCTTTTCTCAGTTTATTACTTTGTTTAGACAAATCCCTGTAATCTCATTGCCACTCAATGGTAATTTAACCAAATACAAACTGAGTAAAGATTGTTGAATTTCACTTGTGCATAATTTTATGTGTATGTGGGTATTATATCCACATGCACATGGATATACACACAATACATTTTCTGGCTTGACTGTACAAACAATCATGTTATGGATGTTCAGCCTTAGTTTGGCTTTCTTTTCTTTTTCACAGAGAGATTTCTCTTTTTAGTTAGGTCTTTTTCTGAAAAAAAGATAATAGTTTCACTATGGGACTGCAAGGATCCCAAGTGATCTAAAGCCTACTTAGTCATGTTATCAGCTCTAGATGGTATTTAAGGATGAATTTGTCGTTTAATGGCTACTTTTTTTTTTTTTTGATATGTGTCTCATAGGTCACATCCTCGAACTGGGTCTGTTCAGACAAGTCCATCAAGTACTCCAGTAGTAGGGCGAAGGGGCAGGCAGTTACCACAGCTCCCACCAAAGGGGACACTGGAGAGAAGTAAGTGTATGTTTTTCTCCTTAATGATGTTGCAAAATTGCTCATGAAGGTCGATTTTTTTTTTTTGATTTTTTTTTTTTGGCATTACAGTTGAAATCTCATGAGTTTTTGTGTACAGAATCAGGATTTGATATTAGTATTGTATTTTGTACTGTATTTTCTTCTATTATGTTTTAGTGTCTACAATACTGTTGACTGAAATGAATCATCAGCAGTGCAGTAATCAACAACAAGGCAATACACATGAACCGAGATGGACTAACTATTAGCATGATCCTGTTCCTTTTGAACTCAATAGGTGTTTTGTCATTGACTTCAATAGGCACAGGAAATTATCTTTTGTATGTCGTTTAGTGATAAAACTCTGGCTCTTTTGGGAGTTAGGAGCATAGCTGATCACTTGTGGGTTCACATGGAGTGTGTTACAGATTGCTAATATAAAATCTCTGCATCTTGAAACAGGAAAATGAAGAAGAGAGGTAATAATCTCTAAAATAGGAAAGGTCAGCAAGATATTTTATGATTCATCTTTTACTGGTGCTATAATTGTGCTTAACTTTAATGTCCTATAAAAGCACTGGTCAATGGAAACATTTTGCAAAATGTTTAGAAACAGAGGTATATAAACACATTTTTGATGACAAATACATTTTCACCCTTCCACTTCTGATAACTAGATGTGCTGTGCAAAATCAGTCTAAATGGCCATATACACTTCTTTCTTTAAATCCTTCTTGACATGTATATTATATCGTTTATAAAACTTCTGTTGTTTTTAACCCCTGTGCTTTGGTTCCCTTTTTTTTTGTTTGTTTGTTTTCTTTTTGTTACTTTCCCTAGACAATGGAGACAAGGAGATAGAATCTTATGAAGGTCTGTACATAAAGGAGGGTTTGTTTTTCACCTGAAAGCCTTTTTGAGAGGCTATATAGGGAAAAATAAACCCAACTGCAATTGATGTTACTTGATTGCGCAGACATAGTCAGAATTATTAACATAATTATTTAGTCTTTTTCAAGTTCAGACCTGTGGCTCATAAATCGTACAGGGTTCTACATGAAAAAAAGACAGTATAAATTATATATCTAAATATGATCATCATTAGAAAAGTACCTAGACATGTACCCATTTTAAATACCAAGGATTTACACTGCGTCAAATAAGACTATTTCAGTAAACCTATGTATGTATGTACCTTTTCAGGATTAGCACTTCAGGCACATGTTTAAATTTAAGCATTTGAGGCTATTTGACATGTTTAATGTTAGCCATGCATTTAATCAGAACAATGTTGTTGTTGCAAATATGTTATAATGATATACAGTTGCTGAATTACTAGGTAATTTTCAAATAATATAAGAGGAAAAATTTAATCAAGGTAGTCTTTTAAAAAGTTATACTTTTGCTTAAAATTAAATTCCCTTGTATTTCATACCATTAAAACAATTTAATTTGCTTAATAGCAAGCCACAAGATATCAATTGCAGTCCTTGGTTATATCACTGAGGGTCTATATGTAGTATTACTGTATCTGTCTCATCAGACTTTTTAATTTAGTATTTACAATGTTTACAGTGTTTATTTCCATTTTGGAAGCAAAACTTCATGAAAAGAAAACTCTGTGTTCTCAGATCATCACCCTAGTATATTCATTTCTTTGTCATCTTATGTGTTGTGAAATGCTTATATGAAATATAGTCTAGATATGCCAGGAAATAATCACATCTAATAACATGATGTTTGCTGTCATTGCTGTATATGCTTTCATATTTTACCACTCTTCCCTGCTCTTTGCTTAGTATATCTATTTAGACTGTGAGCTTTGTAGGGCAGCAATTGTGAAATACTGCATATTTTTACTGCATTTGATTAGAGAAGGTAGCAGTATTATTTACATCATAGGTTCTATAGAGAGAAATACAATAAATTCAATAAAATAATTATTTTTTATAGGAGTGCTAGAATTGTTTGCTCTGGTAAGTACTGCTGGGACTTGAGGAACTCTATTTGTTTTTACTTGAAGACTGAGTAGTATTTTCCTGTACCTCTGTCTAAATTGGTGTTTTGGAAAATCTGGGTTATGGAAAATTACCAGAACTGCAGAGACTGGAGTTTTATTAAGCAATCAAAGCATCATCAGTTACTCAAGATACAGTAACTAGGCACATTTCATGTTGAATTTTACACATATAAAGGTGGTAAATACTGTAGTTAAAAACAATTCATAGATACAGCTTGCACACAGTATTTACGTAATTTTCTGTCATGTATTAAAGTAAACCTATACTGTTATTAGAATATGAGCTTTTGAGGTTTTTTCTGTCCTTCTTTAGGATTTTCTATTCCTTTTCTTTAAGGGGAATAATAATTTTCTTTAAAACGAATAATATTCTACAAGAACAGCAGATTACCTAACTTCTGTCACTGACAGAACGTAATTATGATTAATAGCAATTTTTTACTGTGGAGAACTGAATTTTACAAAAAGTTATTTTAAGCAAATGAGTACCCAGTGATAACTGAAATTCAGTGGAATCAAAAACACTGACTATAGTAGAAGGGGTTTATGATGTTATTTAACAAATAAAGCAGCAAGTAAACCTGAAAACTTTATAGGCATTTGGGTAGATTTTTGTGTGTTACTATATGCCCTGGTGACAAAGAAAACAGTTGTCTGTTGTTGGGAAGGCTGTATGACCACACTGGGAAATGTCATTGTCACAGAGTAGTCCTTTCTGTTCTTACAGAAGAATATACTTGACTCAAATAAGAGAGAGGATTTTAGATTGCATGGAAACATGCTGTGAAGATTAAGCTTTCTTTATTTTGAAATCAAGGATTTGATTGTTGACCAGATTAAGTTAAAAACATACTGAAGCAAAGAGTTAGTAAAAGATACATTATAGACAAAAAGAAATGGAAAGGCATCTCAGTTTTGTAAAGGAGAAAAAAGAAAAACTTCTATGTTTGTAACTCCTAAGTAGTCTCATTTAGTCTGTATACATTTGAATAATCTGTGTTTGTTACAGTGTTGAAACTGCATACCATTTCTTAAAATGTAGTAGAAATGCAGGGACTCAAGTAGAAATAAGGAAGTGATTTGCAGTTGGGGAGATTTTTTGTTACAGTGCAACACTCAGTATAATGTGGAATATGGTGTGCTTGTGGCTATGTGACTAGAACTGGAAGGGAAGGAATCTACAGGAAAAAAACCTCTGGGTAACTGCTTGCCAGATTAGGATCAGAATTAAAAGACATTGATTTGGGCTAGATTTAGTTCACTGAACTGTGTTATGTGTTTGAAGGTTTTTGCTCCAGGACGTCTAGGTTTCCCCAGAAACAAAAAAAAAACCCAACAAAAAAAAGCTGTGAGTAGCTATGAAGTACCGTTCCTAACAGTATTGTATTGACCTATATATCTTTTCCTCAGTGTCCCACATGCTCAGTAGGAGAACATACAAATATCATTAGCTACGATGCATTACAATCTTTTATGGTCATGGCATTTTGGCTAATTCCGTAGTTTCCCACAGCTGTGTTGCTGCCAGTATCAGATTTACCAGTTTGGAAGAAAAACTAGGTATCTCTGAAATGCATGTCATTACCTTATCTAGCCAGAATATACCATAAGCATCTAGGCATTTTGGAGTTTGCTTTAGTCTTTGTTACTTTAGTATATTTTCATGTTGGATGGAAAATAGTTCTAAAAAGAAGTCTAGGACCACTTCAGGTTTTACTGGATTTTCAGTACTGAAATGCCAAAAGACTTTTTTCTTTTGGCTGAACTTCTGCTTGTATATTTTTTAATTATGCTAGAGATAGAGATACCTTGTTTCTGATGAACATTTGTAGGAAAACAATAGTATTAAATTGAACTTGTTTTTAGCAGTGAAATGGTTATATATTCTCAAATGTTCTGTATTATTAGCGCTATAGACATTAAGTGAATACTAGAATATTGATAGTTCTTAAGGATTAACAAGATTTTTTTACATTTATCTGTGGGTATAATTTATTTCTTTGTTCTTACTTGCCTTGGTACAGGGATGAACTCAATGGCCTCTTGCTGCTAATTAAAATGGAACACCATAAAGTGCTCTTGAAAGTATTGGGTATTAGCCCTTTCAATTTGTTGTTAATTACTAATCAGAGACAGACTATTTTTTTTCCTAATATAGATTTTTCCTTTTCCTCTTAAAAATAAACATAGCCCTTTCTTTCTTCATCCCTGCAAAGAAAACCCCAACCACCCACCCAACCATAAAAACTAGAAAATTATGTCAGTCCAAACAAATGCAATAAAACCTTTAAGTATAAAAATGAAGTGCTCAGAAACTTAGCAAATAGTAGATCTCAGTGAGGATTTGCCCTTCTATTTATGCTCTGTGGTACAGACTTTAATTACATGATCTCATAATAATCTTGTGTCTTGGGAAAGTTATTTCAGAGGCTGTTAAAGCTGACATTAATGCTGATTAACTCTCCACTCTTAACTTCAGGTATGGGTGATCTTATTCCAGAATAAAATTATCTACAAATGGAATTAACAGGGGTAGTTGATTAGGTTTAATAAGGGATAGCTATCAGCCATAACTCCAGTTTTTATATGTCTCAGATACAATTTCAAAGCTTTAAAAAGAAAATATCTATACTGTCAATTGTATTGTGTTGCAATTCATGCAGTATGGAGTGCAAGTTACTGAGACATTCTGATGGTGAGGAAAACATAGATGCTATTAACAGACAGAAAAAAAAAAAAAGACGTTTTAAGGGTTTTTGTCTCATTCAGAACATAATTTCTCTGTTAAATGAGACATAATTTTGCAAAATAAGAAGGAATTTTATTGTGTGTTTTCCAGTGCCTTATCATAGTTTGATGGAAGACAGAGAAAGTCTATTATAATGCAATTGCAGAGAACCTGTATTCACACTGGTCATAAATTTATCATACTCTATCAGCTGTAATTTCACAAGTTTTTAAAAATATGTGGATACAGAAA